TCACGCACCCAGGTCTATAAGACCAACACTAATCCACCTTCCTTTTCAGCTTCCTCAAGAAACACCCTTCCACGGTGTGGGCAGCCGGGAAAGGACAACCGCCCTCATACCCGTAACAACACACGAGACCGCCGAATTGGTCAAAATCAAATCCTTTCTACACCCCCTATTAAGTCTCTTATCTGTTGGGGACGTTAGCTATCCGGAACCCACATGATTAAGTTCCTAATTTTAGATTTTGGTTGTTTTGCGCATGGGTTGCTCAGTTGACCTTGAGATTACATTTCCTACTCGGAAAATCCTTGGCTGTCATTGTTTGAAGTGTTATTTTGGTACGCTATTTTTATAGCTCTCCTAAGAACGCTTCTATGATGTATAAATAAACTCGATTTGTGTGCTTGTGGACCTCGATTTTCTGAGTGCTTGTAGAATACACTTTCTACTCCATATCAAAACTTCTTCCTCTACTTAGTGGGCTACTGGGAAGCTTGCATTAGAATAGTAGCCTATCTTGTCACTGGATCATTTGTCTTGGCTCTCGTTTACCGAGTAAGATGAACTCGTAATATCATTCAAGCATATCAACTGATGACGAGCATAATAGTATCATTCAAAAGCAAATATAATAATTTTTTTGTGCCTAGTAAATGTACGACTCTTTCAATTTTGGTGGTGATTCATTTTTTTGGGGCAGAGTTTTTTACACATTTGAAATCATCGATCAATCATTGTTAGACCACCATTAGAAACCTGGAAGAACTGGACGGCCGTCAAGTCCTGGTATGGGACTCATCAGCAGTGCGCATTCACGACTCCTGCACCTCGCAGGATTCGAACCCGGGACCTTCGGTATTGTGCGCGAACGCCTAACCGTCGGACCACTGGGCTCACTAGTGACTAGCTTCGTGAGGAAATTCTCGGAGTTCTAGTTGAGAAGACGTGACCAATGGAGTTCAACCCTGTTGGGTGTAGGGGCTAACTACCAAAGACAAATGGGTGAGGTCGCGCAAAATCCATAGGTCAATCAGAGCTAGACATTAAAACCGTTGGATGCCGGCCCAGTGGTCCTATGGTTATTCGTTCGCGCACAATACCGAAGGTCCCGGGTTCGAATCCTGCAAGGTGCATGAGTCGTGAATGCGCACTGCTGAAGAGTCCCATACCAGGACTTGACGGCCGCCCAGTGCTTCTAGGTTTCTAATGGTGGTCTAACAATGATTGATGATTTCAAAGGTGATTTATTTGCTACTTCGCTTTATTTTTTCCTTTTCAATAATTCAGATTCTTGGCTCGTTCAATCGTAATCTCGCTTATGACCATCATCATCAGCATCAGTCTAATCTAACTAATACAAATGATCATGATAAAATGCTTGCACCATATTCTTCCTCTGGTTCATCATCATCATCAGCAGCAGCAGCAGTAGATCATCATAATGACCATATGATGGGGAATAATACCAATGACATGAATGATTCACAAACATATTCTTTACCATTTGCTGTATTAAAATCGTATATTGCTAAATCAGAAGAATTATGGTTTACAGTCTATCAACAAATGCATCATACCGATATTACATTGGATCCAGTTGTAATTGAATCATTACACATGATATTTAAGTATACTTTGCCAGCTTTAATGCTTCTTGGTAAGTAAATTGAATTTTTTTTTTAACCGTTTGCCATGTTTTTCTACAGTCTATGAAGTAGATGACCGTCAGTGTTTTTTTTGCGAGACACGAAGCATTTTTTTTATGCTAGTCGATACTCTTGAGGGAACGGACACTCTCTGAATGATTGATTTTCTATAGGATTGTGATACATTTAATTGACTGATCACTAAGGTGTAACTAATGTCATGTTTGTCTTTAATGCTGGTTGAATCAATTAAATTACAATATGATCTGTAGAATCTGGCCAGTGCTAAAAGATTAAACAGATAAGATATTAACTACTATTCGGTTTATTTATACTCTTGTTAGTATGATGTTTCATTTTGTACTTAGTGTACTAATTATGATAATCAGGCAGTTTTTAGCTATCAGCGTATCTAAGTCCAACAGTCGATGAATTCATGGACCAACTGGCTCACAGTCACAATGTCCGAACATTGAGAGCCCCAACATGTAGTTTAGAACGGAGTTTCGTGTGACAGGGAATAACATTTCGTGAACTCGAATCGTTTGCATCAGTGGTGCTGGATGATAAAGGAATGTGAGAAGAATTAGTCGTGGAGATAAGGGGGACGTTAAGGAGGATTCCAATGTAACCAATTTGGTCTCGTGTGCTGGTACAGGTATGAGGGTGGATGTCGTCATTTCTTGCCTGCCCACACCGTGGAAGGGTGCTTCTTGAGGGAAGGTAGATTAGTGTTGGTCTTCGAGACCTGATAGCGTGACCGCAGAGCACAAAGGACAACTGCTTGAGGCCGGTCACGCACGGCCGTTTTATGAGAAGTTTACCTTCGGAGACGGAAATCCGTGAGGTAGGGTGAGGTGTGACATTTTTAGGGTCGACGTTTTCTAACCCCTTCCTTCCTTGTGAGAAGGCAGCATCGCTGCAGATGCTGGTTGTCCGAGGAAAACGCCTTAGTGCTGTCACACCTCTCTACAGTGAGCAGTACGAATTTGCCCTCTGACCTTGAGTGGCTGTTTTTAGTCTTACTGTTCTCTAATCGACCTACTTGGCATGGTAGAAACTAAAGGAACATATGTTCCAGCTAATATAGTTCGGTTGGGTGATCACGATAGGCAAGCCCGACCACCACGTCAAGGTAGCAGCTATAGTCGGGCCTCGAACGTCATATACTTTAGACTAAAATTAATAATTATATAAAGGATTGTATAACATGATAAAACACGTTGAAATGTAATCAGGAAGGAAATGTAACCGAGATGGTGGAGAGACTTTGTAGCTCAGGTGGATGATGTTAGTGGTGTTTCGTTCTCTGAGCCGGATGTAACTCAAAGTCGTTTCATAGTAAGACATGTGTTGTAAAAAAGGAGATGTCGGACAAAGAAAACGTTTTGCCCTGCTTATTTTGTATACATATATATAATTTTGGCTTCTCCAGATATATGACGAAGGCTTCAGCAATGCCTAAAACGACGCAAGTACACTATCTCTGACAGATTTCTGTTTACTTTTTAAGCCAGCTATGAACGCTGAATATGTTTTCATCAAATAACCCGTGTTCACTAGCTTCGTATAGATTTGTATCCGCCTCTGTTCAACCGGTCTGACTACTTGTTATGCTCGTCACTTGATATGCTTGAAACTAATACGAGTCCACCTTAGTCAGTAAACTAGAGCAAAGACAAATGATCCAGTGATAAGATAGGCTACTGCTCTAATCCGAGCGTCCCAAGGCCCCATTAAGTAGATGAAGAAGTCTTGACATGGCGTAGAAAGTGTATTCTACAAACACCTAGAAAATCGAGGTCCAACAAGCACACAAATCGAGTTTATTTATACATGACAGAAACGTCCTTGAGAGAGCCACAGAAATAGCGTACTGAAATAATCCATCAACTAATGACAGTCAAGGATTTTCCGAGTGGGAAATGTAATCTGAAGGTCAACTGAGCAATCCATGTGCGAAAAAACTAAAATCTAAAATTAAGACCTTAATCAAGTGAGTTCCGGATAGCTAACGTCCCCAACACTACTGTCCTTGAATACACATTGAACAACGTATATGCCTAGCTCCGCATAAGCAGTCGGTAAATTGACACTCGCATGAAAGTATTGTCAGAAATACCGTAGCGCTTATATTTGTTAAATTTCTGCCTGATTCATATCATATTCTCATATGTTGTTGATGCCTAATTATGTCTCTCTCTGTATTTTATTTCTCACGTTTTTTTTTGGTCTCTTTCACTTCAGAACATTTAGTTCCAGATAGATATACTAAACATAGTTTACTTTCTTGCAATTCGAATCAACAGCCAATAATAGAAAAGCCAATTTGTCCATATTGTTGTTCGTCATGTGATCTAATTAAAAATTCTTTAGATCAATCTTGTTTAAATGATACACTGTTTATAGTTAGTTGCCTATTTTCTGCGGCATTCATCTCTTATCCGGAAGCAATTCAACGACGAGCCATCATTAATTCAAATTGTCAACAGAATAAGAAAAAAACTTTCACATCGTCGTCGTCATTATCATCATCAACTGTTACTTCAATGGATACATTTATTCTACAGTCAGCATGTGAACAAAGTAGAATACAATTGAAAATTTATTTGAATACTATTCTATTAGGTCCAGTTAAATTGTCGTCGAAAACATCATCAACATCACCGTCATCATCATCATCATCTGGTATGGAAAATGTGAGTGTATGGAGTTTTGAAGATTGTTAAATTACACATTTGAAATCATAAATCAGTCATTGTTAGATCACCATCACTATTAGAAACGTGGAATAAGCACTGAAAGACGACCGTTTTGTCCTGGTATGGAACTACTCATCGGTGGCAGTGCGCATCCACGACTCCTGCACCTCGCAGGATTGGAACTCAGCAGGACCTTTGGTCTTGCGCGCACGAACGCTTAACCTCTGGACCACTGAGCCGACATCTAACGGTGTTAATGTTTAACTTCGGTCAATTCACGGAGTTGAAGATTATAAATTAGGATTTGATCAGTTTCTGTAGCTAGATGTTTTATTTGAAGTAAAATTCAACTTGAGATTACAGTATTATGTCATTAAGTTATCCAAACTAGATGGATTGTAGTTAGCAGTGGAATGTAAGGCTTACATTTCACTTTATTTGTAACTTATCAGGTGAATGTGTACTTACATCCCAGTGTTGATGTTCAAAAAGACTTATGATCAAATGGCTATGTAGAAGAAACCGTCTGAGCATGCACTTATCATAGCAAAGGTTGATCAGTCCTGAATACAAATAGAGAGCACTTATTCGCTGTTATACCTTCATACCTGTTGAACAAGTTAGTGGTTAGTTGATCTCAATAGGTCAGTAGATAACGCGTTTGCACTTAAAGCAAAAAAATTGCCGGCGGTCAAGTCTCAATGGGAGTATCAACATGGGAATACAAATATATATATATATATATATATATATATATATATATATATATCACTCAGGTGGATTCCTTGATTTGTGAGATTTTAGTTGTTTATAAAAATAGGCTAGGATAAGGTGTTCTACACTTCGTATATGTGTATGTCTACTTTCATACAATAGTCAATCCAAGGTCACGTTCATCTTACGTACTAACCAGTGGCATTCGGGCTTTTTCCTTTACTTAATTACGCCTGTTACCACTAACAGAGCATAGGTCGCCGACCAGTGCTTGTTTTTCTGTTTGATGTTTTCTTTTAGCGAGTTGGATTTGTACGGGATGAGGTCGCTAACCCCCATACCCAACCCTCCTACTTTATCCAGGCTTGGAGCCGACGGTAATCCTAGAAGTGCGCCAGACGGAGTTTAAGCTTTTTCCTGACATATATACATTTATATATTAAGAAATCATTTAATATATGATTAAAATTACTATTTATACGATAAAAGCGAAGCGTTTAAAATTTTTTCTTGCTCAAAAAATTATTCAACAGTAATAAACATTCCTTAATTGAATCATTTTTCTTCCAATTAGTGATCTTATTTCATGAAAGAATAAGATGGTCATATTCGAATTTCATTTAACCATGTCATGAACTAAAAACTCGCTTTGTTGATTAGATTAAAATCCACACTCTATGTATGAATGACATTCAGTGACACGATCCAGTTTTCCATACAAAAGTAGATAGAGTGTGTTTTGAACGTGTGATCTAGTGGCTGAAGGTTAAACACCTTAACCACTGATCTACTGCTCCACTGACAGTCTCCACACTAACTATATGCCTGGTATATAAATAAATATATTACGTTATTATAGTACCTCCTATAGGCCTGAACAAGTATATACATACACGTTAAAAGTTTTATTTTGGACAAACATCAAACTACTACAATGGAAGTCAGTAATATATCAGTTTATTGTTTGAAAATATATTTACATTAACAGCAAACTGTTAAATCGATTTCATTATTCGCTTGAAATTGGTGTAAATTCGGGAAGTTATGCACTGGTTCAAAAACCATGCTAGATAGGAGAAAATATTCGGCAATAAGCCGTGGAATTAGGTCTTCGTGCTAATTGCCACTTACCAGTGAGACGTACCTGCAATCTTGAGTAGGCTTTGGCTCCTCATGGGAATGGCTGGACAATCATGACATATGTCAATACTCGTTGATCGATCAATTTGTAGCCATGATTACCACTCATACCTACAGAAATCATTCCTATTTTTGGTTAAAATAACTATAATATGTAAAGCGCCTGACTTTCAGTAACTGAATTACAGACTGTAATGCATCAGAAATATTCAGTGATTGAATAGTGAGTGCTTTAACCAATAATCTATCACTGCAAGTCAACTCTAGTGTATAGAAGAAAAATATACATTTTAATTGGTAAAAAGGATTAGCTTCTGACCACTTTGGTCTCGTGTGCTTTTATGGGTATGAGGGTGGATGTAACTTCCCGGCAGCCCACACTGTGGAAGGGCTCTGGTTGTCAGAAGAGGCATCGGCCTCATGACTTCCGAAGGAACTCGGCTTTCATCATGAGCCGTCATAATTCTTCTAGATGAAGACCTTCTAACCCCCAGAGTATAGTTTATATGATTTGAATTATTTTTCCTTGTTAGCGTTTTTTTGGCAAGTTAGTTTTTTGCGGGATGGGGTCGCCAACCCCTATCCCAACCCTCCTCTTTTATCCGGGCTTGGGGGACCGGCAGTAGCCCTCAAGGGTCTGCATTTTAATGAATAACATACGCATGCACAAGTTAAAAACCTTGTAATTCGTAGACGCTCCGTTTAGTGTTATCAATTTTCTTTTAATACATACATTTATATTTTTCTATCTCATTTTCATTTCATTCAGATATCTGACAATGATACTTTGGATATTTTAACAAAATACACTAATTGGTTCAATGTTTTAAATTTAGCCGCATGTTGTTTACAACGTGTATTTCTTCAGTCGACTCATCATACTCATCATCAACAACAACAACAACAACAGCAGCAGCGTAAATCAAATCTATCAACGATGATGACAACAATGATGACGATGAAACAGAGAGGGAATAAATTTGAATGTTTCAATGATTTAAAATTATATATGAATAAATTAAAAATTACCAATGATTGGTGGTCAGTATTAATGAATATGTTTGTATGCAGTTTACGTGGTATGTGGTTAGATTGTGTTAGTAATAATAATCAAGTAAGTGCTAAGTGATGCCTATATATATATATATATATATATATTTCTTTTCATCATCAACAGCAACGTAGAACTTTGTACGTAAGTACATCAGTTCAAGTTGTCATACCACAATTAGCACAAAGATGTAATTGTCAATTCAAATCCAATAATAGTAGAGGTAGTGACAGTATTAGCAGTAATCGGAGAGATTAGGATTAGAAGATATTATTCAAGAAGTATGATTCAGTGAGACAAATTTAGAAAGAGAAAGATAGAGGTGATTAGGGATTCAGAAGTTTAGGACTTGAGAATGCACCTGCGCCATTACAAACGGTTTTAAGCCATTTCATTAAGTGGTCTTGATTATTATCATCTCACGGGCCCCGATCAGGTAGTCGATACCTACCGACATGACTCCATCCACTTGTCAGTGACTTCATGGATTTTTATCACGTTTTGGTTTTGGCCGCACCTAGATTTCTTCCAACCTATTCCTACATCGCAAAACATAGCTCGACTCGGTAGGTATTCGTAACACATGTGAAAATTACCTAGACTGG